TAACCAATCACTTCATAGAGTGATAAATGTAGCCAATCAGGCAGGAGATCCTAAGTTGACCTCAGCCATTCACAATCTTTCATTCCCTAATTTTTTCAAGTATTTTCTAAGATATAGAATTCAAATCTCGGCATTTTTGCTTGTTCATATTTTGTAAAATGAATCACAGTTCGTCTGTCCTTAAATGAAATTAATTTCTGAATTGGTTTGATAAGTATATAAATATAGAAATAAATCCCCCTTTTCTTTTGAAATTTCTTTTTAAAACATGCATTGTACTCAGTAAGTTGCCTCTGACTGGCTAAGATCAAATAGTCAATCATCAATAGCGTGTGAACTTGACATAATAAATGTATTATCTGTAGATTTTTTATCAATCTGAATTACTAATAATATTTTAAAGTTAAAACTTATTTTATTCATTTTTGACGATTATTGTTCATCGTTGTTTCTCAGAAAACTTTTAAAGATCAACTTGGCAGTGCCAATAGTTACACATGGACAATTCCTGACTACCCTTCTTCATGCAAGAAGTATACCTATGCCTCAAGCTTCCAAAGCCCTTTTTTCTGGTTATGTGGTTACAGACTTAGATTATCAGTATCCCCTAATGGAGATAATAGAGAAACAAGTCGTTCATTCCTCTCTTTATACCTAAAATTATATGAAGACCATCTACTGACATCTGGTGGTGTTCATGCGGTATCCAGCAGTGGAGCCACTATAAGTTTCAGGTAGTGCCACACACCCACCAGTATCCAAACCTGCCTTTTAATGTGGGGCATGAGATATACCAGCTTCTCAGCAGACAATGTCTGTCCAACATTGGTCAAATGCCTCTTTTAGACTGGACACACCAATGAGTCAGATGTGGCCACTCATTATGCATGGCCTAGTCAAAGGTCGAACCCTGAAAAAACCTCTGGACAAATCTAAGTCAGGGCACAGCCAACTCAAAGATTCAACCATAAAACAACCTCTGGGCTGATCAAAGTCAGGGCATGGCTAATAAACTCACAAATTGAACCCTGAAACAATCTCTGTGCTGATCTAAGTCATGGCACAGTCAACTCATTGAATTTGAATTTTCATGTCTAGGTTTATAAAGAGGTAGTAAAAAACTGAGAATCCAGAGGAAACCCAATCAACCTGCATTAGTTATATTGTCTATAAATATCAAAAGCTAAAAAAATATACACCAGCTTCTCAGCAGACAATGTCTGTCTGTCCAACATTGGCACTTATCTGGCCAAATGCCTCTTTTAGACTTGACACACCAATGAGTGACATGTGGACATTCTTATGGATGGCTTAGTCAAAGGTTGAAGCCTGAAACAGACGTCACTGGGTGGATCCAAGCGGGCATAGCCAACTGACAGATGGAACACTGAAACAATCTCTGGGTTGATGTGAGTCAGGGCATGGCTAACTCCCAGATAAAACCCTGAAACAACCTTTTGGCTAATGTCTTTAGGTGCAATAATTATACAATGATACATAAAGTTAAAGATATTTACCTAGTTAAAAACGCAAGCTAACTACACCTCGATGCCACAGGAAGACCAATCAACAAATTTATTTCTGCCGTGCTCCCTTGAGTTAGCGACGTACATTTATTTTTATCGGTTGGTACTTCATTTAAGACTTAATGAAGAGTGGCACCATTCGATTATTAATTATTGATCATCGCTAATACGTCGTCTCATCCGCCATATATATTTACAGTATACGTGTCTATACCACAGGAAGACCAATAAATAATTTATTGCGCCGTGCCCCCTTGTCCCAGCTATCTTCCTCAAATTCGTACCGAGCCCACGTTCCTCTTGGTCAGCACCAAGAAATGTTCGTTCTCTTGTTTTTCGGTACTGACCAAAGGAAGGTGGGCTCTGGGTACGAGATTGCTATCTCACTCTGACATGAGTTAAAAACGTCTGCGCGTATTATCTAAATCAGTATGCAAATTAGTCAAAACGCTCATGTAAAAATATGTTGTAAAACTTTGATTTTCAGGAATACAAAAAATACCAAAACTTAGTGTGATACTTGAAACTTAATAAGGCCAATTCTTTCATAATGTGTCTGTTAAGACAGTATCTTATATTAGTGTTTGGTCTCACAAAAGTAACACTCGTTAAATTTTTTGTACACTTGGAGAAAACAAACATTTCTTTTGTCTCACTGAAAACAAACATTTTAGCCAATCAGAGTTATCAAGAAAATTCCCAATTTGCAAAGCCGGCTGAGGTGTCGTGTAACCCACGTGAATAAAAACATTCCCGCCTTTGAAATAAAAATATAAAACTCATGAATTCACGCGGCGAGTAACTTTGCTAATACGTGTTTAATTGAGTATTCAGTGACACGATATGTATTTTTTCATTTGGTGGCCTGGAACATGGCCAAAAATCGAGGACAGTATGGCCGCCGAGCATGCGTCGTAATCGAATCTCTACAAGATTCAATATGGCGGCGCTATAAAGAAATTTGTGGGCTAAATAACAAAATTTACTTTAATTTAACAAAGGTTACTTGGATCTGAATAAGTTTTCCCTTGGTCTGCACGTCTAGATGTGCGTATCAACATGATTTCTACATCGTGATGTAAAGTTTATGTTGCTGGAAGCGATAACCATTCTGCAAAACTCCTCCAAAAAAGACAACTTTGAAGTCTTATAATGCTCTGTTAATGCTCATGAATATTGAAGGTCATCTAATATATTTTCCAAAAGTTATATTTTCTGTTAAAAGAAGGTCAGCGTCTGCACGTCCAGCTTCAGAGTTCGATAGATCACCAATAATTCCATACATTTTAGATAGAAAAAAGCATTAAACTCGGTCTGCAAAACCTTATTAAAGTTCATGTACTTTAAGCAAGTATCACTTGATATTTTGGCCATGTTTGGGTTCTAAATGTGCCCCAAAAGTCGTCCATTTCCCTTGATTTCTTTCCATGTTTTTCAGCTTGCCTTGTCCGCCATCTTGCTTTGTGTTACCGTGAAAGACTGGCTCTAGCATAGATTATTTTATTGAATATACGTGGCTATTGGCTCTACTCTTAGACCAATTTGAGGAATTTTAATTTTCCAAAAATACTTCCTTCCATTCCTACTCTTCAAACAGTTCTACTCGCATCATCTTAATCAAAAGAAGAGTTTTTTTGGTCTAAAAAAGTGACATTTAATATATGAATAGGTGAAATTCTTCAACCATTTGCATGGGTTCCCTTTGCCAATTTGTCTTGTAATTTTGGGCTACCTGTGGTTGTGAGTAAAATTCCCTGACAATATTTAACTTCAATAAATTCTGCAATTATGTCGGATGTAACAATGTTTTCTTCGAAATTGAAAGATAAGTTAAGTATTGAATCTCCATCATTGAGCTATGCTGCCAAAGCAGTTACAAGGAGTATTATTAGACTAGAAGTTATGCGCCCGCGTATACATCCGCTGAACTGTCCTCGATTCTTGGCCATGCTCATACCATTTCGAGAGCAAAAGTGACACCTCAAATCCTCACCCCAAAACCAACCTTCCTCGACCAATCGACACGGACAGACAGACGGACAGCGAACAAGGGAAATAGAGGAACTTAGCTCGCAGTCTAGATTCTGATTGGCCAACTATTTTTTTCAGATCAGCTATTACAAGTAGATTAGCTGGTGACGCGTAATAGCCGGAAAGAAATGAGGCTACCTGGTATGTAATGCCCATGCCTCGAAATCCTGGCTTTTCAAATTCTAACCAATCATAGACTGCGTTGAATTCGGAAATTTTGTGTCAGATTGACGATTTCGGATGCCACGCAGATTAACCAATCACAGCTCTTGAAACTGGATTTCTCGTTGAATGACATGGTATGTGAATGCTACCGTTTAGGGTAAACAAAACATAGAAAAACTTGCCCGGAACCAAATACAGTAAAACAAATAGCTAATAGAAAACTCAAAGCGCAATCAAGGCCTTGTTCGACTTTATTGAATAATTCCTTAGAAGATTAAAAATACGCAAATACACAAACACAGAGCTTGGGTTACCTGTGGTAAAAGAATATATTACGCTTGATCATCAGCATCATTCATCTACGTCATCATCTTTGCAGTATTTTGAATATTACTATTCTTCCGTGACTAGCTGTGTATWTAATTTTGTCGGAAAATAATTATTAGCTTTGATCACACGCTTTGTMKTWAGCGAACATCTCTAAGCGAATGAAAATACTTGAATATTTGAGTTAATCCTATAAGTAGTTATATTCATTTTTGGTGGTGTAGCCGAATTTAAATGAAATCCATTACTAGATATATGTTTCAAAATATGGTTACTATGAATTACAATCAGCCTGGAAAATTTTTTTACGATATCATCTGCTTCGCTTTAATTTATTAATAACAATTTACGAGAAAATTAATGAGTCTGAGTAGTTTATATTAAAAAAAATTCTCACTTAAAAATTAAGAATTATTTACTGCTTTACCACATATAAGACTCCAATAGATAATGCTTGAAGAACGCTGAATAAATTATTCTTATTATAAATACGTTAAATTGCCATATTCAAAATCCTCTAACATAGTTTTGAATCAGCTAAAAAAAATGAAAATTTTTGTGCTCCGATATTCCAAAATTTTTAAATATATACATTTTCAAATTACAAATAAACAGTGTATATTAAAAGCTCGACAGCTGTTTTCGAATAATTTTAAAGCTAGGGTCATAATTTATGCTATTACAATAATTTCGGCACCTCTATCTTCAATGAAAGCGAAACGAAACGACAAACAAACCTCCCAAGGCCCAACCGGTAGTACACGCAATTTTGAATAAGAACAAATCAGTGAAAAATATCTTATTTTGGGATAGAATTGACCAAAAAAAGATAACGCGTTGTGGATATGTGTTTTTAAATCTTAATTATAGTGTAAATTTGACGGGATATTTCCTTGTAAGCTGAATTCTGATTGGTTGAGGAGAGGTCAGTAAACAGGGGTCCACAGTGGTAACTCTATTGAATCTCTCGACCAATCACAACCTTCGATCTGTTTTGCTCACATATGCAACTCGTACTCATTCAGTCTATAAAATTTATTGTCGCTGTAGGATTACCGTAGGGTTTACAACTCCACTATAAAAAAACTACCGATCTCTACGGTAAGGATATTTAAGACTAGTTTTGATGTTTGGGATATGAAACGGCTGGTTAAAATGTGGTAAATTGTGCGGTTTTGATGTCGTCGGACGGCGTTGTCTTTTATAGTTTCGGCGTTTGGATTTCGTTTCGTCTTGAATACGTTCAAACTTGTTTATCGCCTTTAACCTCAACACAAAACACGCTTTTTAGCTCTTTATCTATTCCGCTTCTAGGGATGGGACTGAACAAGAACTACGAAGGATAATTCAGTGATCGGAGCTGCTGGCGAGCGACAATTTCTTCTCAAAGTTTCCTTCACTATCAACAAGACCACGGGCAAGTCTAGACCTATTTTTACTATTGTTTTGTAAGCCAAAAGAAAATTTTTCTTTCTGAACCATTCGTCCGTAGAATTTTCAAGCATATGACTTTTCATGAATCCAGTCAACACTTTTTCATCAATCGGTGGAATTTCTTCAAGTTGGTAGTAAAATCGGGGATATTTTCAGTTCAAAATCCGTAGGAAATTTTCATTCCTGAGTTATTTACAATCATGTCAGCTGGCAATGGCTTGGCTTTACGGATTTTAGCCATCGATTTATCGAGCTAAATCGTCCCAACAAGGTTAGATCTTCCTCGATCTGAATATTGATTGTTTGTTGGTATGTTTAGGGCGATTTTATAGGTTGTTTCGAGGTGGGTTGTTGTTCCCGATTGACTCCATATTGCTGATGCTATCCTGTACGACCGATTTTCGTTTTGCTAAGAGTTTATCGTTTTGAGTTCATGTATTATGCATTCTACTCGGACCCATCTCGATCATTATTTAGAATTTATACGGCTAAATCTTCATCTATTCTAGAAACAGATCTAAATCTGTCCTTCCCCTACAAAGCGAAAAAATATTCTCGTTCATCGATCGCTTCGCTTTCAGGTGTATTTTTGGCGAACAAGAAAAATTCTCACCGCTGTTGTCAACATTCTGGGTCACCGGACATAAATTTCTTTTCTTGTTCGTAATTAGAAGTGACTCAATTCTTAATACTAGAAAATCTAGGTATTCAATTACGTTCATGTCGACGGACAGAATTCTAGTTTTCTGGGTTTAAATCCTACAAAAATTCCCATCGTCTTGAGTTTTAGAGATGTGGAATTCATAGCTTGATGGCAACCATTTCAAATACTACTACCATTTGTAAATATATATTTGTGGAGTTTTTCGTTTTCTTTTTCGGAATTTTTTTTTTTGCTCAGATTTTTAAAAGCTGTCTTTGTTTTGGATTTTAGGACTAAATTTAAGCATGAATAGACGAACTGGATCAAGAATTAGACGGGTTACGAGTAAAGCTGTTGATTTAAAAACCACTTCAAGTCAACAACAACAACAACAGAAAGACAACGAACTTGAAGAAGAAGAGAAGAAAAGTTCTAACGACCGAGCCATACCAGTCAACCACCTTCAAAGAAACTCAGTTCAAAAAACTACGAACGATCGACCTGAAGAAAACACAAAAACACACTCTCGAAGTAGTGATAATAAATGTTCAAGTAAGGAGCTATTTTTGCCTCCTTTGTCTACAACTGGTTCCGCACACACTAATAACGACTTGAAATCTTCGCCAAGAAATGATGGAGGGAGAAGAAAAGTTGGGCTCAGCAATACAGGATCCATGGCTAAAAAGACTGGAGTAAATACAGATGTAAATAAATCTTTGAATAACAGGAGTCTACTTTCGCCAACACTGGCTAAAAGGCAGGGAGTTGCTAGGCAGTTAGCTTTTCAAGAATCCTTCGATGGCAAGACAAAATTCAATGAGGATGAAAATACAGATAGCGCAATATCAGATGAGGAGATTGAAGGAGCAAGTGAGTTGTATTCTCAGAATAGAACTGGTATGAACAATAGTCAGCGGTCTTGGAGAGCTTCTCCTTCAAAAGCATCTCACACTGAATTAGTTTCTCGGACCCCAACTCCTACCCAACAGAAGTATAAGAAAGGGGACATAGTCCAAATGCCGAATGGCATCCGAAAGAAGTTCAATGGAAAACAATGGAGACGGCTGTGTTCTCGGGACAATTGCAACAAGGAGTCACAACGAAGAGGATACTGCTCTCGGCACCTGTCTTTGAAGGGAAAATCAATAAAAAGTTTAAGTTCTATTCCTGGTCGCAAGAAAGGAACGATGCATGGGAGAGAACTGGACTGGGAGTCAGGAGACAGCGAAGGCAGTGTTGAGGGAGAGGTTAATGCAACAAATGACGAGCGGAATCTAGATGACAAAGAGCAAGAAGCAGCAGCCATGTTAGTTTCGTTAAGTAACTCAAGATGCGCAACACCCTTTTCAAACCCAGCAACACCATTACCAGTTTCACCAGCTTTTGGAGGGTCATTTTCACCATCGTTTAACTTTCAAGTCACACCTGGCACACATAAACCCAACATGAAGGCAAGCAAGTCTGGTCGATCATCAAGCACTGAATTATTATCTCCCTTCTTCAATGGCTCTGGATCTACCAATACTATTAGTCCAGATTCTGGCATCCATTGTCGAGAGGATGTACATAGTGCTACACCTTCTATTACTTCTCCATCACCATTATTTTCACCAAACACTCCTACAAAGAGAACATTTTCACCCATCTCACCACCTGCAGGGGGAGGAACTTCACCAGTTCCACCAACCCCACCAGCTATATCTTCAAAGAGGACCTTCTCTGTGTCACCGATTCCTGCTCCGTCTGCCATCACTCCACCAAAAGCTAAAGTCGCACGAGTCATGTATTCACCCATACCTCCTCAGTCGCTCCCTGTAACATCTAGTAGTACATTTGTTCCTGTCACTCAAACGCAACCAAGACATGAGACTTGTAACTTAGATAAAGGACCTCTTCCGCCTGAAGTAAAGCCGACAGATTCTGAAAATTCTATTAAGGAATCATTTTTAACTTCAAAAACAATTTTAAAAACACAAGAGGCAGCTAAAGTGGTTGAACATGTCCCTACAGTGCAGATTCCAAGTACTCAAGTTAATATCATCCAAGTTGCAATCCACCCATGGGTTACTTTAATTCCTCATCTGTCATATACCGTATCAAATGAAAAACAGGACCAAGCTTGTTTAGCTGGAACTATGTCTTCAGAAAATGAAAGTGAAACTGTGAAGCTACAAACTGGTATCATCAACTCTTTGCTTGTTCATGATGACTCCCAAGGTGAAGATGAAGAAATGCGGACTTCAGTATTACCTGATGAAAGCGGTATGCAACGGGATAATGATGCTGTTGGGACAGGACCTTCAAGGAAGCGTACTCGATCAGAAGGCAAAGACGAGGGCAAGGACTCCAAGGTAAGTTACAGTATAATGAAAATAATAATTGACATGAGAAACAATTGTCAGACTAGTAATACAAGATCCTTGCAAAATATAATGTAAGATAATACTTTTTAATCAAATTAGGAATTAAACCTAAACGAATTATTATATTTTATTGCATTAACCTTTTAGAAATAGATCCAGATGAACTGGATCTTTGTAATAAATAGTATGTACAAACTAGCTGCTTATTGACCTATATGACATCAAGTAGCTGCAGCTTAACTCAAACATATTAGCTTAATGCTGTTTCTAAGCCAGGTTGTAAAGTACTCCTAGTCCTCCAATTATCTATTTTTATCTATTTATTAACAAATATATAGCAATTTCCTTTTCTATCATAATTGATGTTTAGTTATTAATAGATATACAGCTAATATACTACTATGGTAGTGGTTAGTTATAGCTATCTATACAAATATGCAATAACATGGATAAATGATATGCAGAAACCTCTTAGAAATCATTCCATAGATTCATATCCCTGGCATAACACTTTACTTGAAATATGCAATGCCTAGTTTATTTGATAATCCCATTAAGCAATCATCTTAATTCTCGTCAAAATTTATGTAAAATTAATAGTAATTACATTTGGCTCAAGAAATTGGAAATACGCACACATAAAATGAAAAATGTCAAGATTTAAAAAAATATATAATGATACATAAATGAATAAATATATAATACAATGCTCTTGGCAGCATCTTATGTGGTAAAGAGAATTAATATATAAGCATAGGTGGCAGAGGTGAGAACGTTTGCCTCAAACCATTTTGACCAGGGTTTGCTTCCCAAAATCAATGTCATATAGGTGAGTAGTTTGTTCTGCTTTTATGAAAGGTTTTCTCCGATTTTCCTAGCTCAGCAAAAATCAACATTCCTAAATTCCAATTTGTGAGCAGATATTCTCAATAGCGTAAACCTCTTATATCTCCTTTGTTGCTTCGTGGATCCGCACTACTTTATTGACAATGTGAATTTGTACTATAATGTGAATACATTATATTTGGTATAGCCCAAAGCATTATATTATTCAAATATATGTGCCAAAGAGATCTGTCAATTATACTCTTGGATTTTAGCTCAACTGGGTATCAATATGTCGCCAGAAACAGTAATCTATATAATAGCCCAAGGTGGAATGAATATTTAAAAGATTCATTAAAAAAACACTTGTCAGAACAAATACAGGAAATTGTTTTTTTCAAAGTTATAGATTTTATGCATTGATTTGTTTCTTGAATAAAATTTTTAGAGTGTACATATATCATACATATATTTATATTATATGTACATTATATATCTATCCATATTACAGCCCAAGGTGGAATGAATACTTAAAAGATTCATAAAGCACTTGTCAGAACAAATGCAGGAAATTGGTTTTCTCGACATTATATATTTTATGCATTGATTTGCTTCTTGAAAAAAATGTTTAGAGTGTACATATATCATACATATATTTATATATATACACCTATTTAATAAAACATTGTCGGTCGGAGATCTGAAATCTGAGACCGAAAGGAATTGTGGGCTGTAAGCTGTAAATTGTTTGTGGTTTTAATTAGTAGTTAGCAAAAAGTTAATATCTTGATAAACTAACTTTGGGCAATGTCAGACCTGCACTGGCAAACTATCTGGGTAAGTGTATATGGAATTTTGAATGAGAGAACACTCAGTCCCCCATAATTCCAATTGCTCTCAGATTTCTGATTTAAGTTATCCAACCAACAATGTTTTTTGAAATAGGTGTATACAATATATATCTATCTATAAATAACAGCCCAAGGTGGAATGAATACTTAAAATATTCATGAAGTACTTGTCAGAACAAATGCAGGAAATTGGTTTTTTCAAAGTTATAGATTTAATGCATTGATTTGTTTCTTGAATAAAATTTCCATAGTGTACATACGTCATACATATATTTATATGCATGATATGGAGTATAAATATACGAAATATGTGTGTGTATGAATTAAAGATATATTAATTACTAAGATATATAAAGGAAATTGGTAAGCAACGATTAAGTAGGTAAAATTTCACTTGCCATTTTATTTTCTATTTCATGGTACTCTAATTTTAATTTTCCCTGCTATTTGTAATACTAATGCTTGTCCTGCATATATTATAGTCATTGGCATCAAGCTATTTTGGACCCTGGTAGAATATTCTGGTTGTTTGAACAACTGATTTACAGAAATAATATATATATTTTAAATATGATCTTATGTATTTTATAATGTACGTGTAATATTATATTTCATATGGTAGTTAAACGAACTCGACTCATTCTGACTGATGAAGTATACCAGTCTATGATATCAGTGTCTCAAACAATGACACGAAATTACAAATGAAAATGCTCAATGCATGTGGATATTGTAGCTTTAGAGTTAATAAAACTAGCTTACTTAACTTAACTTGCAAAATTTAGTTAGTATTGAGTTAAGCAGTGCTTTGACTTTGATCAGCCCAGAGGTTGTTTCAGGGTTTGATCTAGGAGTAGTCATGCCCTGACTGTAATCAGTCCAGAAATTGTTTCAGGGTTGGATCTATAAGTTAGCCTTGCCCTAGGGTTTGATCTGTGAGTTAGTCATGCCTTGACAAGATCAGCCTAGATGTGATTTTAGAATTACTGTGGGTAATAAATACAATATGTTGTTTAGATACAGTGCAGCTACTAAGCTATAGAATATAAATTTAAACTAGATGCTTTGAATTTACAGTCATATGAATGCGGAATATTTTAGTTTATTGAAATGTTGAAATAAAACAAGCATTGCCCTTTTTAATAACAGGTGCATATTTAGGAACGCTAAACAAAAACTTGAAAAAAATGAGATTCGATGAGTGTTGATATATTGTACAGGAAACAATTTTTTTTTGTGTGATTTTATTTTAGTTGTTTTTTTAATAACTGTTTATAAGACTATCCAAAATTTGGAATTTGTGATTTATTTTCTTAAGAATAGGATAAATTTGATACTGTATATATTTTCCAAAATTTATCTTCAGAATAAAAATCTTGAATCTTTAGTGTAAATCAATTCAGGTTGGCTGACGTATTACATGCTAACCTACAGTGTATATATAGCTAATTTGTTGGTAGAGATTTACTATTACATTGTACATATATACTGCATATTAAAAGAATTTCGACTACCATAATTCTCAAATTAAATCTCATTTCTGAAGAACATATAATTATTTCATAATTAAAAAGGAATGACTATATACTATCTTATTATTCCATTATTCTCAAAATTATTCTTTAATTTATTTATTAATTTGTAATTTTGAATTTATTATGGTGGTTTTATATTACAGATGTTATTTCCCTTATTTAAGACTGCACAAGTTGTAGAAAAATATTGTTTGGAGTTTATAGTTGATTGATTTCACTATGACATCATTCGGCCTCAAGAGAGACAAAATAATGCTCAAATGCTCAGCATTAAATTAAAAATGTCAAACGTACATACTTTAACTTGCTTTAATCACTCGTCTTGTACATTCAAGCACATCATTGATAATTAAGTTCTTGTACATTCTTTACTCTAAAGTTGGTTAATAATTTGTTTTGTTTTGTTTTGTTTTTGATGCAGAAATGACGAGTAACACAGAGTCAATGAGTCTGTTATCAAGGAATGCAACAGTATTTTATTTAAAGAAAAGATCTATTTGTTATTCCTTTGGTGCCACTGTTCCTAGTTTCAAAAGGGTTTTAGATCTACTTTTTAAACATTGTAATAAGCTACGGTAGCTACAATGACAAATAACTGAGGCTGACTATGTCAATGAAATTATCCTTTTTCTTCTTGAAATTACATTTTAGATTCTTATAAACTTATCATAAACTTATTTAGTTAATAATTATAAATTGTCTAGGATTACTAATGAAGTCTTAATGTTAAGGTCACTGTAATATCATGTTTATTCTTGCATAATCATGTATATTAACTCGGAAGATATCAACACATGATATAAATTTTGCATAATGTGTTAAACTTTGTAAGGTTGATAAGATTCTGACAAAAATTGGATTATTGATATTCTAGTTTTTTTTTCTTTTTATATACAAGAGCTGTGATATATTTAAAAAATAAATTAAATATTAATTTTATAATTCAATAATAATAATCCTAAGATGTCATATATAATAGCTAGCTTGTAGCTCTTTCCTCTAAAATCTCTTTCTCTCTCTTTCTTTAATTATTGCTTAATATCACTTTCTGAATTAATGACATTCTTAGACTGGAAATTCAAAGTAATTGAATTCGATTTTTTATCTCAAAGTTTGAATTCAATTAACCGTTTTAATTTATTTTCCAATTTCATTTTTAAAATTCAGGCTTGACATTTTGAGCTTATTTTTTTGTTTCCATTTTATGTTCCCTTTATATATACATGTATATTAATGTTTACCCTAGAGATTTCTTGCTTAGAAAGTAGAACACCTTAATTTAATCAATTAGAAAATGTGTAAAGAGTACAGTGCTTTCAGAAATTATGTTGTGAAGTGCGTGGTCATCATAAGTCTGAAGAAGCTGCATGGCTGTGATCCAATAGATTAATGATATATTCTTTTTATGGAAAGAAAAACTTTATAGCTGGCATTAAACTAAAGCAACTGCCCAAACTCTAACAGCCTCTGGCCTATTGTAAAAGCCGTGAATTTGCACCATTCTTTATATCTTTAGTGTCTCTGAAATTTTTTCCTGCAGTTACAGCATTTTATTCTGAAATAAAAAAATCAGGCGTGAAATGGCATTCTTAATAACATTTCGTACGGAGTTTTAAATCTTTCTGATTTTTTCTTTGCAATTCTTTTCTGAGCTTAAAAACGAGTGAAATGATATTGTTCATTTTACAGTATAAGTAATTTTGTATGTTCTGTTTTTGTCTTTGTTTTGTATTTCCTTTCTGAATTAAAATTTGAAATGTCTGAAAGTTGATGCTAATCTTCATTTCTTTATTAATTTTACAAATAAAGTTTCCATAATTTCATATTTGTATTTTTCAAGGTATCAGACATCCTACAATTTCAAGTTTGACATATTTGCCTCTTTCGTTTATACTTCTATTGTTATGACGGCCTCAAAAGTAGCAAAGCACTACAATTCGTATAGCTATGTACAACACTGCTTAGACTAATGTTCCTTTTAAAAACACGTTTCTGCAATTCTGATTTCACTTTCCATTGCATTCTCTACTCTTGCACATCTGCACAACACCTAAACTACATTAAAAAGATTGAAATTTGTGGCTTCGTTTGTCAACTAAAAGTGTGACATTAACAATTAGAATAATAATTTTCCCGAAGTGTTAGGCAGATAAATAGCTTGTCATCGACAGATAAGATGTCAGCAATGTGTTTTTGGGATTATCTTATCACTGTATATATTTTTTGCTTTTTAATAATGAATGAAATAGAAAAAGATAGGCAATTTCTTTTTTTAATCTTTTCAAATGAATTGAACATTTTATAAAAATCTATGCATAATAAATATCGTTTCCGAACAGTTTGATTGTAGATAATGAAAACATGCAATGTTGGATAAGTTTTTTTTAAATTTGAGACAAATGTTTTTGGTGATGCATAATTAATTCGCCGACAACCTTCGTTTAAAACAAGGTCATTTTTGTTTGCTCAATATAATATTATTTGTAGTTTGTTGTAGAGACTGATTTTATTGCGTTATGTATATGATTTTATTTATTTAGCATTTACCTCACATCAAATCATAGTTAAAAAAAAAAAAAARAAAAARAAAAAWATAAAMAAATTACAASCAGATGAGAGGTAAGGGATACCGTCACAGGTTTCCCCAATTACGACGGTCCCTTGAATAAAATGACATTTTGCTAATGAGCTTCATTTGATGCAGACAGTCTAYTGCAGTCATCAGTGTTGTAGGTTTCTTGTAGAGCCGTATACAAACACAGCGTTCAAGTAGATTTGTCTTTTACATTTTATAATTTATTCGTGAAATGAACTAATTCACCTATTACTCCCATCCATCTTTCTATTCATCAGACCTGTGTATCCATCCCGTTTGTCATCACCAATTCATACTTCCCATCCATCCATCCATCCATCCTATTCATACTTCCCATCCATCCATCCATCCTATTCATACTTCCAATCCATCCATCCTATTCATACTTTCCATCCATCCATCCATCCTATTCATACTTTCCATCCATCCATCCATCCTATTCATACTTTCCATCCATCCATCCATCCATCCTATTCATACTTTCCATCCATCCATCCATCCTATTCATACTTTCCATCCATCCATCCAGCCATCCTATTCATACTTCCCATCCATCCATCCATCCTATTCATACTTTCCGTCCATCCATCTCCTCCATCGGTTCCTTCTATCCCATCTCACCATTCATATATTTCATTATATTGTAGGACTACGTCAGACGTCCCATGAACGCTTTCATGATCTTCAGTAAGCGTCACCGTGGTTTGGTCCACCAGCAGAACCCGCATCAGGACAACAGGACAGTTAGCAAGATACTGGGCGAATGGTGGTATGCCCTTGGACCGGACAAAAAACAGGAGTACAACCATCTTGCTGCGCAGGTTTGTGTGACCAAAATCCTCTTTGAATACGGGTAGCATGGGTCGCGTATGCTGCTAATGCGTCGTCTTTCACCGCCAGTATGAGCCCAACGGGTCTGGTTGCTTCTTCGAGCCCTAGGGTATCCACACGTGAATCGAGTTTTTGTTCCTGTGCCTCGAGGGTTTTCTCTGGGTTCCAGATGCGGGTTTCCTCCCTCCGTAAAAATCAACATGTGAGTCGAGTGTTGTGTGCATAAATAATAAATGTAGTGGTAGCGAGCGTGATGGAAAGCAGACCCACGTCAGCGTAAGCTGCCAAAATAATCAGTCTGCTCTAACGAATAAAAGATTGATACCTTTAGTTATGCAAATGGTGTTTGGGAATCAAGCGTGGTGTAGCAGAAGTATACTCATCTCTCACATCTGGGGTCTCGGGGGTTTTATTCCTGGAGTCGGCATTTGTTGTCGGAGTCGGTTTCATCTGTGTGTTAATTAGCCGTGCCCTGACTTTGATCACCCAAAAAGTTATTTCAGGGTTCGATCTATGAGTTTGCCGTGCCCAAACTTACGGAGGTTGTTTCAGGGTTCGATCTGTGAGTTAGCCGTGCCCTGACTTATATATCAGCCTAGAGGTTGTTTCAGGGTTCAATCTCATCAATGAGAAGACAACCGTCATCGTTAGAACCAACATCATCGACATCACCATCAGCAGCTATACCACTACCACTTTAATTCTTTTCTAATATGTATGAAGCATAATTTTAGACTTGAATAAAGAGTTTCTCGCGCTGTGATTGGTTGAGCGGCCAGTGATTTTGAGACAATAATCACTGCTCTTGAGGTGAATATGAGGTTTTCCAAAGATTTCCAAAGCGGAAGTAATACTACAAGGTCTTTTTATCCTGAATTTCGACTTTTCTCTTATATTCAAGTCTAAGCTTATACTAAAACAATTATTCCCCTCGGGCTCAGTGACTATGGAGAATAGTTACATCGTCGCGCGAAGACTCGCCGCTCGGTAAACATTCCACCGATAATGACTTCGCCTTGGAAAATAATCGTTAAATATCGTATTTACTCGTTTGAGCACCGCCCCCGATTAAACGCCGCCTCAACAAAGCGCCGCATTTCAAAATTATTACGAATAAGCGCCGCCTTCGAATAAGCGCTGCCCCCGAATTAACGCCGCATATGAAACCGAAAAAATAGACAAGCGCCGTGGCGCTTTAAGTGGTTTTCAAAAGCTATTTTCATAAACATACGAACTCGCTAGTTGCGAGCTGCACGCTGAAATTTGGTTTTTCGTTGCCGTCAATCAAAACAAATCAGTCGGTACCTTTTTATTTGTATATCTTAAACAATTGTATTCAATTGTATTAAATCGTTGATTACATATTGCGTATATAATAAACACATTTTGTTAATAAAAGCGCCGCCCTCTAATAAACGCCGTCCCCGAATTAACGCCGCGTATGAAACCCCAAAAATTTAATAAGCGTCGCCCTGCTTAATCGAGTAAATACGGTATAGAGGGTTTGAACCGTCAAGTGCCCAAGCCCATAATACAGCTTGGGCTGCCTGTGGTTAGATGGCAGTAAAATCCCTTTGCTCTTGGGAATTGAGTTCTTTCTTATGTAAAACAATTTTATTGTTTCTGCCATCTAACATGGCTGCCGTCACGTGGTGGTGCAAAACCTTTATTCAACCATGAGTGTATGTATCTGAACCAGGCTACCTCATTCTTGGTCAACAGGTCAAAGAAGCCCATTACAAAGCGCATCCTGACTGGAAATGGTGTTCCAAGGACAGAAAGAAGTCTCCCAGGAAGACATCAGAACGAGCGGACTCGATAGACTCGGCTTCAGGTAACGACAACAGACACTTAAAGTGTATATGACACGAAAACATTTCATCGTTTAAAATGTATAGTTTGTTAGTAATAATAAATATATCGTAATAAAATTTGTTTCAAAAGCTTATTTCTTGAGATATGTGAGAAAATTAAGCCCAATTTGTGACGTCATTTTGTTGACACGTACTCTAGATTGGGTAGTAATGTACTAAATATAAATTGTAATTCGTATAAAATAACAACAAAAGGCATATTCTATTCAGCTTCATTTGATAGCTTACGTAGCACTCTCCAAATGTTGGGAAACTGAAAAGTGTACTACCTGAAATTAAGATTCTACATTCAAACATATTTCGTGTATTTGCAACTAAATCTGGAGACTTGTAAACAAAATGACGTCACAACTTGTGCTAAATTTTCTTGAATTTCTAGAGAAATACGTTCTTGAAACAAATTTAACCGTGATATTCTTATTAATGCCAATAAAATACACATTTTTAACATCAAACGTTTTTCGTGTCATATGCACTTTAATGATTTATATATAACCAGGGAAAAAAGGGCTTTGATTTTGCAAACCTCTGCTATCTTGATTTTGCGTGTTCCCGCTCAAAATGATAACACATTAAATTTAAAATTTTTATTTTTATTCCGGCCATTGTTCCCCTTCCTCGGTTACATCTGTTTCAAATTCTCTATAGCGAGCTAAATTACTGCTCATCCAATCGAAATGCTTAGAGCAGTTCTCGCGTGACTGAAAAGCTCTGCCGTAAGCGTGCCGTGCCGTGACCGTGATACTTTCTAGAATTTTAATTGACTGATTTTTTTCCTCGCGGAATGTGATTGGTGTGACAGCGCCGTTACACTGGCGTGACCTTGTCTGCGCCGTGTTTATGCCGTGTTCAGAGTATTTTATACTTTGATTGGCTTGGTGTACTTAGAAAGTCCTACGACCTTGGTGTGACCCAGTCCGCATGTGTTTCAAGTATTATTTTGATTGGATAGAGAGTAAATTCTCGTGCAGTGTGATTCGTCTGGCTTATCCCTTGCCGTGTGACGAGTGTGTGTCATGCCGTGAGCTTTTCACAGTCACGAAAATTATGGTTACGGCTCGACATGTATGTACGTACCGATAGTTCTCTTTCACTATCTATACGAAATTGTTTATCTCACAATCCACCCTCATTTTGCTCTTTTATGATTTTTAACATTTCAACAAGATCTTTATAACCGGTTGAACAAGTTTTGGTGTTTTGTTTTTAGGTTCGGGTTTACCGAGTGGTTCTTTGGATTATGTTGAAGACGTGAAGGTAAATATCTCACTCGCTTGTTATAAACATGACGTGCATGCGCTGATACGGCGCTGTCTCTCACCGCTGTATAGTTCACGCCTGAGGTCGTGGGCTCAATCTCGACTTAAACGTGTTGGGTTTCGATGTGTTGTGCTTTGCTACGAGGGTTTTTCTCCAGGTTCTCTGGTTTTCCTCCCTCAGCAAAATAAGAAAAATGTGAGTTGAGCATTTTGTGTCGTACATAATAGTGAGTGTAGTGTTAGTACGTGTGGAGCAAACGTCTAAAATATAAGTTTTTTCCTGTCGGTCGTCTTTCCTTCCCTACTCTTATTTCCATCATTTAATTGTCTTTTTTTTTTCAATTTTTCCACCTCCCCCTCCTTTCCTTTCCCTTCTCTTCACTTCTATTAACATTTATCATTTCCCATCCTTTTACTATTCTAAATAAATTAAACCCTATGTTAGCAGAGCATGGACGATATCAAACCAAAGATGCGGTGTAAGCGTTCACAGAGCACGCCTATCTACCAGGGGGAGTCCCATGAGTCTGTCCAAAGATCCTTCACCCCACAACCCAGGGGACTAGATTCGCCTCAGGCGCTAGTAGAACTGGCACAGGTAAAGTGTGTTTCTTCCAAGTCACGTGAATAAACCATGTAACTTTTTCTCTTCGCCACGAGATGGCCAAGCTCACTTCACGAAATTTGATTTTACAATAACTTACAAATTTCTCGCGCGCTGATTGGTTATTTTTTATCATCAATAAGAGGACAGACAGATGAAGCTGACGTCAACGAGCGCGCGCTCTTTCCGTTGGTTGTTTTGATCGCTAAAAATAAGGAGGAACTACGTGGAGGAAAATCTATTCTTCCAGTCAACATGACTGCCGTGTGAGAAAGGACCATTGCTTGAGAATCGTTCGGGGTGAAATAAGGGCTTTGCGCTATCACTTGACGGCAGCCATATTAGATGGCAGGAACATTACAATCGTTTTAAATGAGAAAGAATTCAATTCCCGAATGCAAAAGGATTTTATTGTTCTGCCATCGCGGAAAAAGAAACGAAAATGCCTTGAGGTGGACGGCGTAGCCACCTAACTTATTTTCTTTTTACTAATTAGCAAATCAGACCGGGAGAATAGTTTTGCATTTACACGTTAACTCAATCAGCATGACCGCAAAATATAAAATTATTTCGTACTTTCGTACACTGGACACTTTCGTAAAAAGTCGCTTGATTGATGGAAACACTTGGCGGAAGGATTTAACGTTATTAGTAAAAAAATAAGTTGGGTGGCCACGATTAGGCGCGTCCCACTGTAGTGAGCGAGATGATTATCTTCATGTTAATTTTTTTTCCATTTACAGATGTGTTCCACACGATTAGCTGAACGAGAACAAAAACTTGATATAAATAAGCAAGAAACTCGGTCAGAAGTGCCTTGTTCTTCGTCCACGAATCCTGACGAGCATGCGCAGGACAGCGACGATGAAGGATCCGTCGAGTTGGAATGTCGCGAGAATCTGGACGCAAACGAAGGAGCCTTTGACTCGTCCGACGATGAGGACATTGAAAGTCGAGTGTTTCCACAACAACGATTTTCTCCAGCTGTTACTGCGGGGTTTAACCAACGTAGTTTGACCCCTGACGTTAGTAAAGCTAAGTATTCTCCGATACCTTTCACGAGACGAGCAAGAACACCTGACGTATTGTCCAAAGCTGGTTCAAACGGCACCACTGTCCGATCCAAAACACCATCACGAGAGCATGACTCCAGGAAGCAAACCCATAGAGTTGTCGAGCCAACGTTCAGAAGACAGCTTTCGGGGGATTCCGAGAAAAGTGCAGACTGTGACACCTTTGTACGACCAACGACTGCGCCGTCAACGAAGTCATCTTCCCCTGGATTGACAATCAGCGGGAATTTTAAACCCAAGGGATCGGTATTTAGGCCCAAGTCATCACGCCACCAGATCTTAGCAAGAGGACCTGGTGTTCTCTCGAATGGTGGTTTCAGTAAAGCGGGGTCTAGTGGAGTCTTGAATTCTTCCGCGGTCCATTCTACTGCCCAGCCTCGAGGGGTTCCAGACAACGACCAAGGTTCTGTTAGCAACGCCGGCAGTTCTATGTTACCCATCCGGCCAAATGTACAGTCCGATAAGACACACTCGCAGTCCTTCAGCAATAATCTTCAACATCAAGCCACAAACAAAAGCCCTCTGTCCTCCCCCACTAGAAAAACCCAGCTCAAACCCATTGCTCCTCTCCCTGGTGGAGTTTCAAGTACATCCACTGCAATAACAAACTTCTTGAAAACTGCAAAGCCAAAAGGGACATCAAGGATTATTCCTCTGGGAACTAAACCGTTTGGTGCTTCTGCGGCATTGCAAGGAATGGTCCAAAATTTACCCATTAACTATTCCCAAGATGGATGGCCCGTTGTGCTCCCTAGAGTAGGGACTAACTCAAGTGAGGGCTCCGTGGCAACATCGTCAGTAGTTCCAGTGGGGACACAGGGACAAACACAGATAAGACCCTTGCAAATTGTCCCATCAGTGCAAGGGCAGTCCTACTCAGGTACCGTTTTTCAGAGTATGGCCCCGCAGATGTTTAAACCATTGATGTCCCCTACTCTAGGGGTGACAAGAAGTACGTTTCACTTCTCTTCGCCTGTCATTTCTACAGGGGTCGAGAAGTCTTCTACCCTTGACACGCAAGTCAACGTTTCCCGCTCTGACTCTTCGAGACAACTTTCCAGCCCCAACTCAGGTCTTGACGCCACAGGAATAGCTCAAAACCCGAACCATCTTGCCTCAACTGGAACTGAGACTACAGTAGAAGGAGTCGGCGGCAACTCTAGCAAAAGCATGAGTACTCATGTAGACGCTCAGCCCGACGTTGACTCGCCAAAGCAGATCAAAGAGACTGGGACAGCTTTGCTAGAAACAGGAGCTGGACAAGGCCATGACAGAACCGAGACAAGCTCTCAACAGAAGACCATTCTCAAGAGATTCGTAAATGATGGAATGGAGGAGTAAGTTAATTTAAGATGTTTTTGTTAGTTTCTGCGTGAGCGCGTTCGTTTGTTCGCCCTTGCGTAGTTCTTGGTTAAGCGCGCTTGTTCATTTTTCACGACTTTTGACTGAAACGCGTGGGAGGTTGGGCACTTATTTCTAACGCAGGGACTGGGTAAAGCGATTGGGAAGACAGTACTTATAGAAGTACATGCAAGATTTTCGTAAGGAAAAACTTAGAAAGTGGAAAGGCATCTTAAGATCTTGAATTGAAATCTATGAAAATTAAAATGATAAATCGTATCTGAAAAATTCCAAACCAATGTCATACACTGCAGACATGTGCAGTAGCTAAAGGTGCGGACATACGGTGCAACATTGCACGCAAAAAGTTACAAATTCACATTTCAACGAAATCACGCAACATCGCTTGTGTCAGCCTGCTATTCTAAGGTATTTGGTCAGGAGTTATAAATTTGGTGCTAGCTGATTGGCTGGAAATTTCAAAATGTTGCACGCAGTGTTGCAGCCCTGTTCACACGATGAAGTTTGTTGCGCGCAATGTTGCAAGAGAAGAGCGCAATTCAATTTCAGATTTGCTGCATGCAGCTTTGCGTGCAACAAGTTTTAGGGGTAGACACACGGTGCAACAGTCCTGTTGCGTTTGCCCGTGTGTCCGTACCTTAAGGTGCCGTATGCACTTCAGACCTCGGCTATCCTGACATCCACTGGGGGAGGGGTAAGTTAATCTTATCGTCACGATTAACTTGCTGTCTCCACAGGGGGAGGTGGTGAGTAAGTCTTGTCATCACGATAGTTCTCTGTGTTTACAGAGTTCTCGCCGACGTGGATTTCACGAGGCAATTTGCTGACCTTCCTGAATACAATCCCAGGAACCCTAAAGATCAACCAACCAAGCTTTCACCAAACGTTCCCAAACCACCACTACACAAGACTCGATACTCGTCTAGACACGCCAAGGCGGCCGATGGACAGATAGATGAACCACAGGGTGATGGAGAAAGGGCCTCCTCAAGTGCATCTAATCATTCAAGTCTAGACGCACTTGCCGAGGCTGCTGCGCTCCAAGGAAGCGGGCCCAAAGGAACACAGTGCATCAGAAACGAAGAACGATGCCACTGAAAGCTCTTCGCGGAAGAACCAAGACCAGAGACGAACGCTGGTCATGGAACTCTTAACTCAAACTGGGTACTTTCCACCAGACAGTGTAACTTCAGAGTTCCAGCAAGATCATTCTGAGCTCTTCCCGAACAAGAACAGTCTGCAACTAAAAATCCGAGAGGTGAGACAGAAGTGCTTGAGCACGCAGATGAACAGTAAGTTAAGTACGTAGTAACCAGGTAACGAGATCTCTAGTGGAGGGGAGGGAAGGGAATGTGAAGGGAAAGAAGAATGGCAAAGTATTGATGGTAGTGTATAGTAAGATATTGATAGTGTAGTTAAATTCTTTCTTATTGGTGTATTTCAAATTTAAATATTACAGTGTTTGTTGGGTTACTAATAGATATCTGCCGATTGCTTTAATGCCGGGTTCTTTTTTGGTCACAAATTCCATATTTGGTTATAAAAACTATCCTTATTTGGTCATGAAGATATTTCCTTTTTTGGTGTGCCGTTTCGTTATTTGGTCATGCATTCCATATTTGGTAATAACTGTTGCATTGATTTAGATTTTAGTTTTTTTTACATTTTTTTCTTCAACTAAGTTTTTCACTGACTCTTTTTAAACGCAAAATATCAAACTCATATTCTCTAGTTTTGACTTGAAGTCATACAGAATGGTAGCCATAGAAATCGTTTTAATTTGATTTGAAAAGTTCATAAAAAATGCAACGGCTTTCTTGGCGTTTGCTCATATTCACGCTAAAATGAATCGGATTTTCTTTTTCGGCATTTATCTGTATTCCAGGTAAAAACCAATTAAAATTTAGCTCTAGAATTAATTCAAAATACCTTTTCGCTTTAATTATTTGCTCGAACTATATTTTTAATATTCGAATAAGCTGCTTGCTTGAAAAGCGTCCTTTTGAAAAAAAACTTTTGCTTTGCAAAATTTATTTCGTTTCCTTACTCAGAAATTGTCGCATTTTGCCGAGCATTTTCCCCCTCAGCCTGTGTCTATTCATAAAGCTAACCTTCAAATTAAAACCTTATGTTAAGTTTTTTCTTCGGATTTAATTTTGATATTCATGGCTGTAGCATTTGTACAACGCATTTTGAACATTTTCCAAAAAAAAAAATCATTCCTAAATATTCAACTCACTATAATTTTCGGGATGCCTTTGGTACATTTTCCCGCTCAAACTCACACGACCTTTTTCCCCGGAATTCAAACTCATTTTGAGTACTGATTGGTCGCCAGTAAGTACGTTAGCTGGAAGTACATTTTTCTATATCAAGGGTACGTAGTTGTAGTGGCGACATTTTCAAGGCATTCTTTGCAGTAATGCAAAATTTCTTCCATGAATTTGGAAGAAACTGTTAATGCATTTTTTGTAATTAAAAATTATACGTTTTTGTCTATGTTGGTGGCCGCCGTATTGGAAACTACTCTCCTCAAATCCTTCTCCTCAAAACTAATATCCGAGAATTTATTGTGCTGGATTTTAAAGAAATTCTTCGATGTAATGTCGTAAACGTTGAAGTATTTCGGCAAAAAAGCCAAGATTTCAATAAATTTGAAAACGTAGTAGGTTTTGAGTGTGCAATTCAATATGGCCGTCGACCTTGCCGCCTTTTTATCAACCCGCAAACCATTATGGTCAAGTCACATGTATTACTCTTGATCAGTGTCGCCAAAGTTTTCCTTAACTAACAAGACTGAATATTAACGGATAATTAAATGCGTCAGAGTTGATTTCTAAATGTATTCAAAATGGCGTCCAATTCGCAAGCCACAATAGATTTGTCTTTATAGTTGAACAAATATAAAAAGTAGTTGATAAATCCGCCTGCAGGAACACTTACTCTTTTCTATCCAACCCAATGCTTACTATGAAATAACTCGCCATTTGTATATTCCATATAATCTTAAAATATTTATATACCTAGACTAGGGGTTCCATTCAAGTCGTATTCGCGTTCACTTTTTGCAGGATTTGTGTGAGTGGGAAACCTGTGTTACATGATTGGTTCTTTGGTTTAATCATGCTTTTTGATTGGTTAAGGCGAGATGCCATATGAGTGTAAGTGCGCCTCTGGTTACTGCTCACACGAATTCTGCTCCGCCAATTTTCAGGCGCTGTAAATAATAAAGTACGAAAATATGATTTTATTTCTAAATGTAACTACATCATTCGTAAAATATCCGAGTCTGGCGATTGTAAAGTTTGTGCGTTGTTTCAAGATCGAGTGAAAAAGTACGAACAAATGCAAGCATTCCTGTTTTACCTGTTTTCTTGACAGAACGTACTAAATGTTTTTATCTCGTAAAACCGGTTTTTCATTCAGAATAAACAGGAAAAGCTGGCTTGCTTCTGTTTAGCGTAGAACGTAGTATTAGTGTTTTCATCCATTCATCACAAATCGATAAATATTCATTACATTAATCGTTATTTAATTTAACTTGTAGAAAAAGACATATTCATTAATTCTTTAGTTTTATTACTTTCGTTTTGTAATTGAATAAGGGTACCCAAAATGATTTTTTTAATTTTAAGATTTAAACAGCACATTATGTCGCATCCCAAAGTTTTTGTTCTATTTTACTACTCATCTCAACCGAGTCGTATAGACGAAAAGTCGCTTGCGATTTACTTTTTTCTCGCGACAAATCGAAAAAAGAGGACAGACAAAACCACTGCAAGCAACGTAAAGATTAAAAGGACAATTTTTTGTTCCTTCTCCTACTTTCTACTCGCTTCTAGTAGAAATTTATTCAATTTATTCTGCATTTAGTGGTCAGAATATTGTAGTTCTACTACCTGTTTACGGCTAACGATTTTGAGCGAGATAATGTGCTGTTTAGTGAAAGCTTTTGTTTTTATACATTTTAAACCCTGTAAATTCAACCATACCATGTTTAGTTCAGTTTTATAAAAAGTTAGTTAAATTTAATAGATCGAAATACTGAAAAATACTCCTAAAACCCATGCCTACGCTTTGTTTAAAAAGAGGGGACCTAGTAACTAGTGGGTGATTCGAAAATTTTGAATAAATTTTTCTATCCGTGGTAAACTGAGAGGTGTGAAATTCATTCGTGTTTAGATAGATTGTTTCGGGTGTATTTTTCAGTGACAGAGTAAAATTAAAGAGAAAAAAGAAATACGGACATAAGATATGGATATTTTCATTAGCCAAATTTATTGCTTATAGTAAAAATTATCGAAATTGGGATTCCTGTGGCTAATATTAACCGCGGATGTTAAACCACAGAAAGCCCGCGCAGTTTGGTGTGTGTGGTGTGGCTTCGCTTATTTTTTATAAGACGAATGTTTTCACTGAGCTGGCACATGGAAAATTTAAAGAAATCAATTTGCTGATTATTTGCTTTATTGATGTTGCTTTGTGGCATAACAGTGAAAGTTTTATTGATATGTTGGTGCCTTTTTGACTAAGGTTGTATGGTTTTTACCTCATTTTGTCTATCTGTCTGCCTTATGTCTCTCTTTCGTTGCCATGGGTTTTGACCAAACAAGTCACTGTGATAAACTTAAAGTGCCTATCACCTTTCTGAACATTCACAGTATTGTTTCTACTTGGGGTAAGATGTTGGATAACCCAGAAAAATATTATAGTTTGAGTGCGACTTCTTGAAGTTATAAAGGTTTTTTCCTATGCCATAAAACTCAAAACTGAAATTGTATCGGGCTATTCCACATCTTACCCCATGTAGAATCAGTACTGAGAATATTGTCAGAAGGGTGATAGGCACTGTTAGCTTTAGAAACTGGTTTTTTTTCTCTCTCTTTTAAAAATTAACGAAATAGTTGACTGTTGTTTACGATAAATTTCGCTAATGCCATAAAGTACTTCAAAATTTATATCAAATCACTTTAGTTTGATAAAACCAGTAAATATAATCTAGCGTTCGACTTATAGCTTAACCCCATCTATCTTTCCCATGATGCCTTGCATTCAGTTTTGACGTAAGCGCTGCTTACAATTTCTGTATCATTTCGGTATTATATTCACCATTTTCCATACATCGTTTCACTGGTCAAACACAAAGCATTCAAGCGAGGCGCCAAGGTACTTTCAAAGGATTATTCAAATTTGAACCTTGCAACCCTGACTGAATGCTCTGTGTTTGGCCAGTGAAGTCTGGAAAATGGTGAATACTTTTACCTTTACTTTAACTAGTTTCCAAAATAATAATATTTAGAAATCTGTCTTTTGGATAGAATAATCTTTTAATATTTATAGTTTTTTATTAGACTTCGAACACCAAATTATGTTTACCTGAACTTCAAGAAAAAAAATATATGCATAAAATACAGAAAGAAAAAAAAGATAAATTTGCACTAGTAAACAAGCAAGCAAAGTTATTATTTATTCAAGTTTTCTCGAAAAGAGAGGAACTATAACCAAGATTAACTCATTCTTGATGTGAAGTTTGATGAAACGATGAAATAAACGCTTCCCTATCTTGGGATAGAAACTCTTGTCTGATTTTATTTTTGGTTTGAGGGATTTGGGCACACACACACAAAAAACGTTTTTTTTGGTCCTTTGAAAAGGCACAGCTGAGGCAATTTTTGTAGACCACTTGCACTGAGTCCCTCGAGGAATTGTTCTGGGGGACAAAACAACGGATTTTTTTTGTTTTTTTGCATAAGAAAAGACGGCCTATTGTTTTGTCTCCCAGAACAATTCCTCTAGGAAATCGATGAAAGGGGTCTATAGGTTATGATACACTCAACCAAAATTACTCGATTCTGATTGAATAAGAGGAGTACAAATAAGTCCCAAATTGTACTATGTAGAGTCCCAAGTGAGTGGCTCCATTTTGTTGAGTGTATTATATGATGGTAAATGAACTGAGTGGAGTGCAATTTGGTTTGAAATCAAACGCGCGATTTGTAATTGCAAGTTTGATTTCAGACCAAAATTGCGCGACACAAAGTTCAATTACCATTTAATCATATCCTTTTTGTAATCATACACAAGAAAAGGATTCCGACGTTCTGCAACGTGTCTATTCATACCATACCACTAAAAGTCCGTGGGAATTCAAAAGTTTATTTTTCAAATTGCACATTCTTTACATACAGTTGACTTGCTAAATGATTTACTATTAAGCGATGCTAATCTCGTACAAATGAGCCCTTTTAAAAGTCATATAACACAGCGGTGTTTATCGAATGAGGACTACACACCGAATCAAAATGTCGAAATAAATTTTGTTCTGGATTGACTAGATTCTCACGCATGTACGCTTTTATATTTCCACGAGAACACGAGGCCAGTCAGTCCAGAACAATAGTTGTTCAAATTGGTCGCCATTATTATGACCAGTAATCCAATACTTAATTATTGGTTAATATTCTGGTACCCAGAGCTCCTCGGCTTCGTTTCTACCCGTCGGAGGAGCTCTGGCTGAGAATTATTTGTTACCTTCAATCGGCAATGCGCAGGCGTCTCATTCAGACACGCTTATTGGATTCTCACGTGAATCGTGCACACGAAACTTAACGAAAGCATGCGAGGTCACTGAACTGTGCTATTGCTGGTGTACTGTACGCGGATCGGAAGGTCTTACACAAGAGTCTATCCAGAAACATCCAGGTTTAAAAGCATTTAAAGTAAGTATTCCATAATCTGTTTTCTATAATACTTTCTGCTTTCCTTAAAGTATTTGGGAATATAGGATTAAAGTTGTAATTGCAATCAAAAGGGTAATGGGCCTTTATAATGTTAATCGAGTAAACAGATGTCGAATAAAGACTTTGCACCCATCACGCGATGGCAGCCATGACAGGAGGCAGGAACACTTGAATCTGGTCTAAATTAATTTACATTCTCGACTTTCACATCCCCATAATGCCTTGCGTTTTGGGGGGGTAACCAATCAAAAAACTGTCCCAAATTGAAAGGTTTCTTAATTGCATTTATAATATACCTGCTTTTGTCTGTAAAATACTGATTATGAGTTTATACCAAGTTATTTTTGCGTGTACAGATCATCAAGAGTTTTGGTCTTACAGAAAATGCATTGACTTACGAAAAAATGTTTAAAATTTACCTTAAACGTCTTCAAGCTTCTATCTTTTTCTGTTTTTTACTTCTTCATTTTATCTTTGGATACCAAACAAGGTATTTTCAACATTGTCTGATCAGCCTTCAGCAAAATAAGTGAGATTTTTACCCTCTGATTACCCCCCAAAGACGCAAAGGATTATGGGGTTGTGAAAGTCGAGAATTGAAAAGAATCCAGTTTCCCAGGGAAAAACGACAATTATTGTGCCTCCAGTCAATAATGCCATCTCGGTGATGGCCATGGCGCAAAACCTCTATAAATATTTTTTTCAGTATAAAGAGTGATACATAGCTAAAGGTCTGAAGTCTTTAGAATAGTTCAGTGCGCATGTGATTTTATTTAACTAAAAAGAAAAGAAGGTTTATACAAAAGAAGGTGTCAAATTTGTGATAAAATCGGAAGCGCACTGAAAAACATATTTCTCCCTGCGGCATTTCTAATGGCGACCAGGTTGAGTTTTTGTCATGTCTTCATGGTTTCTGTTCAGATAATGAAAATATTTGTATGACCAGCCATGTGTCAGCAAGAAAGAGCAAAAGTAATCTGCTTAAAATACTGCCAAAGAGAAGGATGTTAAATATAGCATGTCTTACTTAAAGATGAGTTGCTTTTTCTTCTTTTTTTCTTTCCTTCATTCCTTCCTTCTTTCTTTTCTTCTTTTTTTAAGTTCTTCATTCCGTGCATAGTTAAGTTCATTCAATACATTCATTTGAATTATCAATCATGCGCACTCACTGCGCAAACCGTAGTGCGCGTGCGCGTCAAACTAATAACCGCGGGAAACTTCGAACCTTTCTTCCTTCGTTTCTCCCTTCTATCCTATCTTCCTTACTTCCATACTACCTTCCTTCCTGCCATTTTTCAATCCTTTCTTCCTTCAATCCTCGCTTACATCATTTTTAAAGTATGTCTTTTATGGATTATATTTCACTTCCGGAAAATTGCGCATGGCGCCAAAAAATGGATTATGCCATAGCCCTTGTTCTTCGCCGAAGGCCAGAAAAAACGCAGGCTTTGGATACGAGATTGAAGAACATATGCCTCGTGCGCACTGGCCACTGCGCAAACCGTAGTGCGCGTGTGCTTCGATCYAAAAGCCGCGGAAGACTTTGAACCGGAAGTAAAAAATTTCCAATCCTTGATCTGCCATTCAATGTTAACAACTATCATAAAGGAAACGAATCGGGTTCAAATTTCTTTACCTTGAAAAGCGGGCATGCCACGCACGTGGAACAAAAAAAATCTAAATTCTGGCTCCTTTTACCAAAACAAATTATTTAGACTGCTTAACATAAGCTAAAGTGACCATCCTTATCTTGCACAAAAGAGTCAACTTGCTATCTTCAAATCTAAATCAATTGCTTATCGTAGGGCTTTGTATTCTATCTTGAAAGCCAGACAACAATACCTCGGGCCGGGTTYGTTTGGAATGGAAATTAAAAATTGATAATTTTGATACGTCGATAGCTCTCCCAGCGAGACCAGCCTTACCCTTAGTTATTTCGTCAAAACTTTTTTTCGCTGAGAAACGATAAGCCCATAATCAGTTGACCGTAGCTTTCGATGTAAAACGAATCAGAGCAAGATCGAGTGCTAAAGAACAAAGGCTAGTTAGCCAGAGTTTACAGAACTTATATGAGAAGGGCTAGGGTCGTACTTTTAGGCCTAGTGTTTTAGTAGGCCAGACAGAAAAGGAACCGACGGAACTGAACTACTCCTTCTTTAGTCTCATTCACATCCATGTGTTTACAGCTTGAAATTGTAGAATTTTGAAATGGGTAATATTTTCCAGCGACTTCTCAAGTCTTGCAATCCCAAGCAGAAATTAAGCCAAATTGAAGCGGCTAGCTCTCAGCAATATATACTACAGTAAAAACCCGCGTGTAAGAACCTAGCGGTTGTATTCACTCAGTGTTGTTTTTCCATTTTTTTAATATTTGCTTTTCAATATGTTCGAATTCGCATAAAAGTAGGTTAAAAATATGAAAAAACAAACGTGTCTATATTTTTATGACGGGAGGTACGACGGGAGGTACAGAGAGAAGTCAAATAATTCAAGAAAGCTATTCCAGTTCCTTTGCTGAAACTGTCCTGTAAATTAAATTCTACTTATCAGACTAAAATACAGCATCTTAAAATTATCCTGCATGTCAATTGTGGCTCAATAAGTTTCCATTCTCCAGGAATATATTTGTCTAGAATCCAGAAAATACAATTTCTGCAAATTGGAAGAGTTTGTTGTCATTAAGACAGGCAGTTGTGTCAAATCATTGCGGCTATACTGACAACTTGGTGTAATCATAATAGAAAACTTTGTTCTAAAATATCTTCAAGTTTTCAAGTTTCATTGTTGATTTATGATTGTTTTTCGAGGGGAATACAAATTGATCATATTAAGTCTTTAAAATGCTGAAAATCCTAGGCGAATTGGTTTACTGGTTATTTGACATCAGCCGTTTAGATTATTTCCAAAATCACTACTTTTCCCCCTGAGTATAGCTTAATAAAAACAGTTCGCATTGGATTGTTTTTGGCGAGTTTTAGCCATAAATATCGTTAACAGTTCAAGCAAAACAGAGTTAGGCTTGTGTTAAAGGTTTTTCATACTGTATTCCTAAAAAGACAATTACCTGAAGCGAAAACAGTGCTAGAAAATTCCAATCTTTTGATTTGAAGTTGATACTCATTATTCACGCCTAAAAATCCAACTCATAATTTTCCAGTCAAACCAGAAAACGTTTAAACAATAAAGTTATTTAGATAATTGGTTTATCAATAAGATAATTTGAACTAGAATTTTTGTGATCTGTACACCACCGGAACGAAATTGAAATCCTCCATCTTGTTTTCTTTCTTTAAAGAAAAACTTCAAAGTCGAATTTGCACAGTGCGTAAAATAAACTCCAGGAAAATTTAAGAACACGTATGATCATTTTAAAGATGCTATATACTTGTTTGAACAGATTTTTTCTGAGACTTATTTGCTAATTTTGGACCAATTCAGTGCCATGACTTGTCTGACTTGGCTTGATCCGAGAGGCTATAAGCGACTTTTACCATTATTCTTATACATGCATTAAACGAGTTGCTCTTAAACTACCGCACATAGACGCTTCTGAAATGCAAATACCCTCTTTATCGAACTATCTAGAAGTTTTTTCGTGTATTATTTTTCTGATTTGCTGGGCTTTGGAATTACAGCTTTAAGTTAGCAACCAAGTTGAGAAATATTGGCAGTTTTCTTAGGACAATTCAGTCATAAAACAGCAAGATTCAGTCCTTGAACTCCTATTTTCTATTTGCTAGACAGCATGAATTAAATAATCCAACTTCGGTTTATATCTGATGAAGTTAGAAAAATTAAAGAAAATAAAGTAATTATTTTAAAGTATTTGTATACCTTTCCTCTAGTGGTAACAAACTTGTGTTTCAAGCAAAGATGGCGGTTTGGAAGACGTTGCCAAACAAGAGGTAACTTTGTCGAAGGTACAAAATTTTTGAATGAAAATTCTACTGCAATTTGTATACAATATCTTTTTATATTTTCTTTTCGCATGTGAAGCTCGCCTTTTTATCATCATAAGCAATAAATTCTCTTAAAAGTGAAAATATTCCAGAGTTCAAAATAGCATTCATGACTCGCGCCGACATGACGACAAACTAAGCCGGTGCCTTACAGCTTCAAACATCACGATTTCACAGGATAAAGTGATAAAAAAAGAGATATATAAAAGAATGAATAAAATACTTCAATATTGAAGAAAAAGTTTCCTCCACAATGTAGTAGACTATAAATTTATCCAACCATTTTTGGTATTTTCTTTGCAGCTAGTACTATGTTTCGTTTCCTAGTTTTCCTCTTTATTAAGTCACAAATATTAAACCTACTCTAAGAAAAACTAGTACCCCATTCACAACAAGGCTTAAACATGTTGTAAAGAGGTTTAACTAAACAGGTTTGGAAAACTATCTACGAACACTGCACAATCTTTGGTAAAATAAGGCATGTAAATCTTGCTCTGACAATATTTCAGAAAGTTTCATTATATTGTAGGTTTCTAGTTTCTCATTTTTTCCTAATGAAAACATGGTTTAACTAAACATGTTTAGGTGTGAATGAGGTTTTTTGGTAAAAGCTATATAACATGCTAGTTATATTTTATCAAACATCTTGATTCGCCTCTAGTGGAGATGTGATGTGGTGAGGTGCCCTCACACGACTGCTTTGATGTGTTCAATATTGTTTGCTATCTTCTCACTCTCCAATGTCAAAATCAATGTCAATATTACGAATTGACTGTAAAAACCGTAAAAATATGTTTTATCCTTTATATAATGGTAGGAGTTTAAAACTTTGAAACAGAAACTGGACCTTTAAAAGCCAGAGAAGCTAAAGAAAACTGTCCATGGAGTCTTGAGATCAAGAGGTGCAAAGATGTGACCTGGACGACTAATGTTGTAATTAAATGATTTCTGCAATACTTTAGAAAATAGAAATAGTTCTGTATCTTAAAAAAAGTAAGTCCATATTTGCTTCAACTCTGTTTAAATTCAATAAATAGAAACGAAAAATCTGTAAACAGAGACTGAAACTTTCCCAATTGGGCGAAGAAATAACACCACTGCAGAATTTACCAGTTATAAACGTCTTTATTTTCTTATCATTCCAAAGTATTAATTTAAACAAATACATTAATATTATTAGTTAAGCTTGTTCTTTTCCTTCCTCATTCTTCAGCAATTATGCATGATTATTTTCAATTAGTATTACAATCCTCATAAACACAAAATAAACATCAATCTTTATAGTGTACGAAATTAAAATTTTAAGAGAAATTATTCATTACTCTTATTAACTTCTAACTAACACTGTTTTACTTAAAACATTATACCACTATCTCTAAACTTAGTTGCCAAAGGACGTTTAGTAAAATATGCTTCTTGTAAAATAAAAACATAAGTCCTGAAGTTAGGCGAAGAAAATTTAGTTGTCTAAAGTGAACACTTAGTTGAGTCCCGGAACCAAAAAAGAAATATTCAAATATTATTGTGAGTTAACTTTTCTTGGCTCTTCTTATCTTCTTTAAAGTAAATAAATTAAAGGATGTACTTAGTTGAATAAAAAGTTGGTTTGAAAGTTTCTTTACATCATGGACGTTGTGCTAGCTCCCATTCAGGGATTCACCTTCAAGAAATACAGGCCTCCGTAAAATTAACAATTTAGAAAACATATCACAAAGAAAGTATTTCAAAAACCAAAAGAAGTAGCATCAATATTACTTTGATTTTTACAACAAATATTTTCAATGAGTTAAGATTTCTTCTAAGTCGAGGCAGTGGAGAAGAAAGAGCTGAGCTTCATTTGGCGACCCAAGACATGATCTAGCAGATATATCAAGATCCTTCACCTGACGATACAAGAATTCCTTTACTTATTAAAAAGTTAAGGATTTCTTGTGTGTCAAGTAAAAGCATTTGAAAGTCATGTTTGGGTGTTCCTTGTCATGATTGCGTTGTTTCTTGTTCCGTAGATCAAAACTTGGGGAGATAGACAACCACAAGTTCGGATCTACGGGTCGAAAAACAGTGCTATTACACGAGGCCCATGTCTGCCGAGGAATGGGCGTCTGTTTCTTGTGTGCATTATCCCATGCGCTCAAAACAATGCAAGAATGGACTGTTTCTCTGTCTTTTTCCTCAGGCTTTCTGAAACATAATAATGGATTAACTTTTATTTAAGTACTATACAATTTTTCAGGGTTCTTATTTCAGGCTAAAACAGAAGATTGGCGCTGATGTAGTTACATAGTTGCAGTGAGTGCATTGTATTCGCTGAAGGAGTTGCAAAATAGACGACTCAAACACAATAAAACGATCAAGAAGGCACTAACAATTGTTTGGCATACCAATTAAAAATGAATGTTAAAAGTAAATCAGCTTTGAAATGATCTAAAGTCAAGATTTAGGTGGTTCAATTGTCTTTGTTTAGCACCAACTCTAAGCTTTTTACGAAGTTCAGAAAACTCAAAGGAAATTTGTACCCTCTTACCGCGAAGAATGGCCATCAGACAACCAGTAGATCTCGAGCTCGTGTAAAGTTTGTCATTTCAAATTGAAAAACAAATTTCCGTTTCACGGTAGGAATTATTAGTCTTGTAAGTCGTACTGAAATTGTGTTTGTACTGTACGAGTGAGTAATAAGTCGGTTGTAATCAAGCCAGGTACCTGCTTAGACCTAGATACAAAATACGACAAACAAACCAACATTTATCACGGAGTCAAAAACTCTTCACGAATTTGACACAGGCGCCGTGAGCTTTAGAAGACTGTACACTGGATCGGCACCGAGAAGTATTCCTTCTTGTGGCCAAGTATTCAGTTCGCGAAACGAAACAGTTTGAAACCAAAGTTCGTAGTGTGTCCCAGAACAGACCGCTTTCCTTGGCAAAATGTATCGCTTTTGCAGCCGGTTCTTTGACTCTAGATTCCCAAGAAAATACAATCAAAAAAAGTTCTCTAAAATACCTGAAGAAGAAAAGAGAGTTCCTTGGTACGAATCGAAGCTGATCATTCGTGATCGCCGGCAAACGCGTGGAAAGGACGCTCTCAGAGCACTTCGTCTGGCTTTTCTACAATCTGTCATGTGACCTTTATTATCTAATGACGTCAGACCTCTTAACTATTGTCTGGAATAAAATCAACGCCTAGTTTAATCCCCCTCCTTTCCCCCCTCAAATATTTTTACTCTTTCAAATATGGTCTACATTAAGCAATTAAATGTGCTTTTTAATTATTATTTCAATGTCAAATTCAATTCTTCAGTATTTAAGTTTCAACTTCTTTGAGATTTGTTAACATAGGTAAAAATATTTCAATATGGTATTTCGTACAAAAGCCTGACTGCTAAAAAAGGGATGTTTTTACTCATAGTTCTAAGTAAATCAACATATGCTTTGTATTTTCTCTCTCTCTCTCTCTCTCTCTCT